TAGTTAGCCCTGGACTTTTGAAACCATAAAAGTTCCTCATGAAAAAGAATTTTATTATACTCTTTCACAAGCTCCCTTTCCAAAAGAAACATATTATGAATATACACTCGAGACTGGGACTTCTAGAACCCTTCAATACGCCCCAAAAGCCAACGTTTTTTCCGAAAAATATTGCCAAAAATATTTTTATTCCAAGAGATGGCATTTTGGGTAACAGTTTGTAAAGCTTCAGGTAAAGAATTAAGACTATCAGACCAAGATTTTTCGACCATATTAGTGAAACTAGAGTCCATAAACCAAGCGACCTCCATTCTAAAAGGTCTAGCCAGCGGATTAAGAGTAGACATACCTTGAGTATACACAATCAATGGCGAATGATCCGAATAAGTACGAGGAAGATTTCTGACTACTCCCTCCGGAAAGGCAAGTCGCCACTCAGAATTGCACACTGCTCGATCTAGCCGCTCCAAGGTGTTAGCTAAGCCTTGCTTACCATTCGACCAAGTAAGATTAGGTCCAGAACAAACCCAAATCCATAAGTTTGTATCTGTTCATCCTAGCCGCAAACTTCTGAGTTCGAATAACATTTGTATTGGTAGAGAAGCTACGTTTCTCACTCTACACAGCATAATCATTAAAATCCCCTACAGTTAGCCAAGGTTGATTCATATTCTGGGCCATCTCTTCCAGGTTTTCCCATAAAGTGTCCCTCAGCAGCGGGTTAGGACTAGAATAAATGGCGGATAGGATCTAGTCCGAGTAGCCATCACATTGGATCTTAGCATGAATAACTTGAGCATTCACGTCAAGAGCTTTCACTATGACATGAAATGGATCCCACAAGACCCATATGCCTCCACTTTTGCCCACCGGATTGACATGAGAAGAAGCAGTAAACCCAAGCTTATTAAAAAACAAACCCATCGAACTCAGAGCAACTTTTGTTTCCATCAACACAATGATAGAAGGCTTATGATTCTTCTCTAACTCCTTCAAGGTGCGTTTGAAGGCTTTGTTTCTAGCACCTCTGCAATTCCAAATGAGTAACTTCATGGAGACAATTTTAGAAAAAGACGGTAGGGGAACATGCTCAGGAGTTCCCAAGATCTTCCTCACTCTTATGTGATCGAAGACCATTGAGTTGATGGAGTTTACTCTTACTGAAGTGGTCTTGGTGCCGTAAGTGTTCATCTCCTCTTGTTTGACTATTAGGCGGGCTTCTCCGATCCACCAATCGACGTCTACCAGGAGAAAGGCTTTGGTCTCTTGATCTAACGACAGATAAATTATGCCGGTCTGGACTCTATGCTAGTTCGGAACCAGAATCTCCATGGAGGACAATGGGGTTAGGTATGAGAGTAAGGGTTTCCTCAGAGGCCGTGAGTAAAAGGTCAGGTGGTTCTTTAGATCTAGGTAAGGGAGGTTGGAAACTTTGTATACAAAGGGTTGCAGGAACAACAGACACAACTGTAGTAGTCCCATCAGGAGTATTGTTACAGACTTCCTCAGAGCTGACCATCTGCACTTCAGTAGAAAACAGACTATTGAAAGGATTAGAGATAACCACACCTTTCTCAAAGGAAATAGAATTACCTGGAGGTGGGCCTATATTAGATGGGGCTGGGCTCGTAGAGCTCTCACCTTTAAAACGGACTCGGCTCTTAGAACTCGGATTATGAACTTTTCCCTTGGACTCAGTGGGTATACCTTTTCACCCTTTAGAACTAGGTCTGGAACCTCGTCTATTAACAATCATCCAAGGACCAAAAGTTTCTCTAATGGGCTCTGAAGACTTCCCCTGTTAACAGGCCAACCCAACTGAAGTAGGACTTGTTACATTGACCAACTCCGACGCAATGGTTGAATTTTTCCCAAGCTTGTTGATCGGATCTCCGCCACAGTTGCTTTTCATCGGAGTCACACTGCAATGTTCCTTCCGATGTCCCACCCTTCCGCAAGAAATAGAAAGCGAGTAAATGTTCATACTCAATGCCATACGTATACACCCCTATAACAAAATGCGATAATAGTCGCTTACTCAAATCCATCTCTACACAAACTTGAGCAAACTTACCTCTTGAAGAAGTGGCTGTATTTATATCTATTTTCAATGGTTTGCCAATAGCCTTAGCTATATGAAAGAGTACCTTTTTATTATAATACTCAATAGGCAACTGAGGAAACCGAACCCACATAGCAGATGAAATTTCCGTCGCTTGAGAGGGCTTAAAGTCAGGTCTCCATTTCCGGACAGTTAGATAATGATCCAGGATGACCCAAGGACCGCCAGTGTAAACCTTAGCACAATCCTCCCTCATATGAAATTTAAATAGGAAATAACCGAGCCCTAGATCAATGGCTTCAAAATCACCTTGAAGATCCCAGGTTTTCTGAACCTTAGTAATAAGCAACTTATACCCCACAGATTTCCCTAGCAGCTTGATGATCAAGCATTCCTTCCAAGGTCGCCGTACTTTACTCAAGAGATTTCGGGGATGCTTAATGCGAGGGATCCCAAAGTTCGAATCCTCTTCCATAACCGCTTCGTCCTCCGAAATATCTGCATCCTTTTCGGCCTCGTCATTATCAGTAGATAATTTATCTAAATCATCATCAAAAGGCCTGTCATTAAACCTCCTATTGGTAAGGGCTTCTCTGAAAGATCTGGATCTGGGAACAGTCGGACCCAAAGCATCCATAGAGGAATCCCCCTTGATTCCCAACGGAACAGATTTCCCCCGCCTCCCTGAGATATCGTCCACCATACAAAAATCATTTTCAGACCCTTGAAGAGCTTTGAGTTTCTTCGTGCTTCGGGAGAGATGATCTTGTTCCTCAGAAGAATTCTCACTCGGAGAGCCGTTAGAACTATGGAGAGCGTACTCAGACATCCTATAACTATCTTCTATTCACACCCACGCTTATTATTTAGATTTGTATGTATAATTATTCGTAAGGACAAAATCAGATTCAAGTGATATAATAATGGTAGTTGTCTAAGAGTATCTTCAATAATTTTTGCTATAATATTATTACTATTGTTATAATTTGACAATAAATAGTAATAATTTGTCAAATTATAGCAATGGTGCTCCAATAGTATACATGCTATTTTGGCAAAATAATTTGACAATAAATAGTAATAATTTGTCAAATTATAGCAATGGTGCTCCAATAGTATACATGCTATTTTGGCAAATCTCAACTAATTTTTTCTCCAAGTTTGTAAGTATTGTTTGGATATAGATTTTTAAGCGATTTTTTTTTTGGTTTATTTTTTTTCTTTTGTGACATTTTTTTATCTGTTTGTAAAAAAAAATTATATATTTATATTATACCCGACTAAACAAATATAAAAAACGAAAAAGAAATTAAAAAATTGAAAAAATGAATTTAAATACTCAAAATTACATTGGAACATAAAAATGACATTACAAATAAAAATTAAAAATTACATTAAAAAATTTATTTATTTATTGTTTTTTTTGGTCTTTTTTTGGTCTTTTTTTTTTCAAGCAAAAAGAGCACAACGACTCTTTTGCCTTTCCAAGACAGATCACCACTGTCCACGCAATACCATTTCCAATGGTTGAGATGAAGATCCAGAATCATCCAACCTTTTTGCCTCTCCCTCTCAATCTCCCTCTCCCTTTCCCTCTCACTCCTACTTGATCTCTCTCTTCGATTGGCTACGAAGCATGTCTTCCTCTCCCTCTCCCTCTCCCTCAATCTCATCTCACTCTCATTCTCCCTCTTCGATCAACTACGGTCTCAGTTTTCCTCACTCTCACTCTCAGTCTATCCTCTTCTCTCTCTCTTTGATCGGCAACGGTACAAGATCGAAGAGACGATCGACAACCGTCTACTCTCTTTCTTTCTCTCTCTCTCTCTCTCTCTCTCTCTCTCTCTCTCTTTCCTTTGTTTGTCTTTCTCTCTTTCACTCCTAGAATGGATCAATGACGTTGGACAAGATCGAAGAGACGATCAACACAAAGAAGTACTTTGAACTACCAAAACCAGGTATTTATTATTTTTAGTTTTGTTCATATTATGAGATTTTGAGATTTGAACTTATAAAATTGCTTGTTGAGCTCCAATGAAATTGTTAAAAAAAATTTGTTGGAATCTGACATTTGTTGAATTTGTTTGAGATTTATTGATTGTTGTTGATTGATTGTGTAAAAAAAAAAAAAAAAAAAACTTTGTTGATTTTGGATAAATTAAAAAAAAAATTATTGATTTTTTTTTGGGGTGAATTCTGAAAGATAAAAAAGGTGAAACAGGAGTGAGGGAGGGAAGGAGGGAAATTGTTGGTTTTAACTAAGTTGGCACAAATGGCAACTGTCAAAGCTTGTGTCAAATTTGACACAAGCTTTGACATTTCTCAAATTTGGCAGTTGCTATTGAACCATTGGAGCATCATTTTTCAACACAGCTACTACATTATAGCAATGATAGCTCCAGTAACAAACCATTGAAGATACTCTAAGTTATCATCAAAGAAACGAATGACAAATATAATTTTACAAATATTGTATAAAATAAATTTGAACAAATCATGTACCTACTATTATCAAATCAATTCATAACTTTCAATTTTATTTTTTTATAAAATCATCGAGATATGTCACATGGCACCAACACAAAATTGGAAGATTGGACCGTTCGGTCAATTTAACCAGCAAGAGAGAAATTCATTATATTTTAAAGCAATAATATTATAAACTTAAATTTATATATTCAGAAATTATGAAGAATTGTCATATTGTTTTGTGATTTAGATTATTTTATATATAGACTTACACTATATAAATTCAATTTCAACCATACAACTCTTATTCAAGATAAATTTATTCTACATAAGTAGACTTGATAACATTTTTCATTTTAAAAAACATTTCTAACTAATTCTACTTTGTCCATGCCTGTGGGTTAAAAAATAGAAATCCAAAAAGTAACTTACAACCTATCTAAAAAAAAGAAAGTAACTTACAAACTTGCAAATTATAAAGTGGGTCAGTGATTTCAGTAGTTGCAATCTCCATTAAAGAGAGAGAGAGAGAGAGAGAGAGATGCCTTGCCTTGATATCTCTACCAACGTGTGCTTGGATGGAGTTGACACTGAAGCTTTCTTCTCTGAAGCTACAAAAGTTGTTTCTTCAATCTTTGGAAAACCAGAAAGTGTAAGTTTTCTCTACCCATAATTTTCAATAATGATATCATGCGATTCGATCTCTAATATTCAGCAGTATGAGCAAATATATTAACAAATATCGACATGAAAAGTTCAAAATCCTAACATATATGGACCGGTATTTAAAATTCTGTTAAAGCCATGAGCTCAGTCAGTTGCCTCCAATGGTGTTAGTGAGTGTGAATTTCTTTGGGGAAATAACCCATCAATTGATGGTTGGAATTTTTTTTTTCAAATTAATGATAAAATTTATAAATTTTAATTATTAAAATCATAAAATTTTTCATGGGTATGTAATTATTTTTGAAAACTTTTCTCAATTTCTTTTAAAATTAATTTCAGTTTTTGCAAAAAAAAAAAAAAAAAAAGTTTTTTAAAAAAAAAAAAAAAAAAAAAAATTGTCAATGTCTTTTTGCCTGTATTAGAAGGGCACTGAGTCAAACTTTATCAATTGGATTCCAGAAATACTAAATATAGTTGGATATATTTATTTATTTGTATTTAAAGTATAGTTAATTACTTGAAACTCTCATGAATTTTTAAGAAAAAAAATTTCTGAGATGCTTTTTAAACTGTAGCACAATATAAAAAGAAGGTTATGAAAAAACTTATAAAAGATGTATTATTGTACTAATAAGATTTTAAAACAACTAATAGTTATGGATAATGTAATTATTAATTTAGCAACAGCAACAACAACAACAACATGACCATTGCAGTGTAATAAATTTCCAGCCATGGCAGGGATCAAGATATTATTCCAAAAAAATCACATTTTAATTGAGTTTGAGATCTAATTGGTAAAATAAAAATTAAAAAATCATAAACACTTACAATTTTATTTTTTTTTTGAGAAAAAATAATTTAATATTTATTTTCTTTTGAAAAATTCAACCAAATATGGTCATAGAATTATTAATTAAATTTTGAAATCAGATTCTATGCAAGTAGAATTATGGACCATGAAAAAGATTCTGTTTGATGCCTTTTTTCCTGGATTAGGGGCGTGACACTGGGTCAAACTTTATCAACTGGATTCATTAAAATTCTAAGCACGGTTCAACATATTTTTATGTACAAATGACACCAAGGAATGTATTCATTCTTGCTTTCTTTGTCAGTTTCTGTTATTTTCTTTGTTAGGTGTTCTCCACCAACTTTCTTTCCTGATCCATTCACTTTATTTTGTCAACCACTCTGTGAGACTTCTCACATTTTTACTCCAAGTGACCCAAACTTAATTGTTTGATTTTCAAATTATTTTTTGATAACATTGGATAGGAAACGATTGTTGATAGGATTGTTGATAGGATTGTGATGGATGATTTTTTTTTGCCTATACAGTAAGATTTAGTATGGTAGTAGAGTTAGATAATTACGATATATAGATATCGTTTCATTTACTCGAATCTGAGATTTCACCTCATTAATTAACACTTAAATGCTCTCTCATGACTATAGTCCATGTCTTGTGAAAGATAAATTATATCATAAGATTAGATGTGTTGAATAATTGAATATATAATAAGATTATGGGATAGTTTGTATCATGGGATGAAGAATTGGACATAGAGAGTGAGGTCTCAAAATGAAATAAAAAGATACAATTATTTTTTATTGTTGAATAAAGGAGAAAAATAATTCAAAGAGGCCTAATCTCTCTAATACCACAATTCCTATGGTGTTACTCAATATTTTTTTCCTCATTGAATGTCCCATACCATACCATACCAATATTAAAATTCTTAATTAAGAATTTTAATATTGTCGTAAGCAAACAACAAACTAAAATACTTGAGGGACCTAGCTAACCCTTAATCCTTATGTTCTTTCTTATTCTACAATCAAATAATGAACTAGTTTTTGAAGCGGAGTCCAATTATCCTTCTCATTAACTGAAACAATCAAATTTGGCCATTGTTTTAGGAGTTTTTTAATTCACATAATTATTTAATTTTGAATTAAATGTCTTAATACAATTACACGTGACTAATGACGGATCCAGGATATTCAAACTTTACGGAGTAAATACACAAGTAACTTTTTATTTATAACTATATAATATACATAATTTTAACAAATTTGGGGGTGCGATGCTTTCGCCCACCGTAGATCCATCCATGCTTGTAACATTGTGTACTTTATAAATGTTGAATCTTATCACAATTGAGACTTATCATTTTAGGTGGGAACAGAACTGTAGGATAGTGGAAAGTACAAACATGTTATAAATGGTCCCAAATTGATAGGAACCAATTAAGGTACCACCAACTTTTGTTTTGGAGTGAAAACCAAAATCAAATTCACACATGTGTTGATGTAAAAGTGAAATCAAATGACCAGAATCCAAAGACAGATAGAAAGTGGCCTTAGCTGTTAGCCTGTTGTCAAGTTAGTGTTGATATTGTTGTTCTGCACAATAGCCCTGGCTCTTGGTTCCATTCCCCACTGTGGAGCTAAGTCCAATAAAAGTAGGATTTGATGATCAAGTGCAACTCCTATTTGGTAAGGACCTAATGGGACTCCTGGTCCTGAGTTTGAGCCTCTTTAGGCTAATTACTCGAACGATAATAATTAACAATATGAGTTTAAATTTTTACCTATATGTAAATTCGTGACTTATCATTACATAATTGAGAATTCTGTTATATAATATCACTTGAGGTGACTTACCGTTATATGATTGAGATAATCATTATCCTTAACTACATATACATATAATTATGATTACGGATCACAAGTGCGAAATTTTCAAAATAATTTTTTGCTATCAAATGGTTAGTGTATGTAGTTCTCGATTAGATTATGCATATAATACACATATGTTATGTTTGTTTGGACATAATAGATTTGATGTAATTAGTATTCTTAAAACTGTTAGCTTTTTGGATTGTATATTCTATTCTATGTTTCAATTAGTTGAAGATCAGAAAGAGTGATTGACCAAAAGGTTATAAATTTTTTCATTTAATTAGTTATTTCAAACCTCTCCTTAATTACTCATTTTATATCACATTCCACTCTTAGGATTCAATTGTATGTCATATAGACTCCGTGTCTAAGTGAACTATGAATTCATATCCTAATTAGCCAAACATGAGATCATGTACATTATTAATTCAATCCTAAAACCTTGTTCTGTGCAATTTTTTGAGAGAGGAAATATTAAACAAAAAACTGAAAAGTTGAGATTTTTTTTTCCTTCCGAATTTATGATAGTACAAGACTCTCTGGCATAAATATTGTACTTTTATGAATTTAAAATTACAATTATTTTCTCAACTTCACACTTTATTATTATTATTATTTATATTCTTTTTTGAGAACATATTATTTATATTCTTATTTTAACATTCTTATCGATTTCTACTCTGTGAGATGTTGACATATTATGGATAGATCCAAAGTTTCTTCCATCTCTATTCTTTTATCACTCCTTGTTTAAAATGTATTTTAAGTATATACATATTGTCACTATATTAATTGGTTGAAATGCCTTAATTCTTCATGTTTAGCATTTTTTTTTTGTTGTTGTTTGTTTTTTATTCGTTTATGTTTAACGAAGCATGATACCCAAAAAAACAAAAGCAAAAATGTAAAAATGAAATTTCATAAGGCGAAGAAACTAGATAGAATCACCGAAAGTTATAAACATAACACATGTGTCACTTGACATAATAAAGCCACTAAACTATATCAAACGATACCTTAGAAATTCAGTACGGAGGATCTCAAACTAATACAAACATGAAGTCTTATATTTTAGAAAATTTCGAAATTTTTATAGTGACCTATAAATAATGGATTAAACAACCTAATAATTGAGTCACCTTGGTGTTTATATTTTTACAGTTTGTGATGATCCTATTAAAGGGCTCAGTGGCCATATCATTTGGAGGAAACAAAGAACCAGCTGCATTTGCAGAGATAGTATCCATGGGAGGCATCAACTCTGAAGTAAAAAAGAAGCTTATCGTTGAAATCGGCACAATTTTACAGAAGAAGTTGTCGATTGAACGATCACGATTCGTCCTCAAAGTCCACGATACAACAGCGGGGCGTAAAAACTCCAAAATGTGACCCACAATTAGCTATACATCTGTTTAGAATTACATTGTGTTATTATACCCAGATTTCAAATTGTGATTCCCAAAATTTAGATTGAATTTGGAAAATCTGTGATGATGAATTTAAAATAACAATGTAAAATAATTATTAAAAAAAATCATTGATAAGGATTTCTAGTTCCACAAGGATCGTAATAAAATAGTTTCTTTTATCTCTACTTAATTTCTCAATCTACCTATCAAAGCTTAACTTTAGTATATTTTCTGTAGAATCCAACCTCAAATGCTTCGTTTGAAAGTCATCCTTCATTTCCTCATATGCTTTTGATAAGTTGATGCAAGGTTTGCGAAGGAAATAGAATCATAATTAAGAATTTATCACAACTTCTTTCACAAATGTGTTGAATTTAAAGACTACTATAATTATAGATACAAAATAGATAAATTCTCTATTATTTTAGGGGTCTACAAACCCAGAAATTTACCAGAATTTGAAATCGAAGGTTGATATTTATTGATGACATAGTCCACAACAACCAAACTAAATCCACAATTTTCATTTGAAAATCTGGAAAAGTTTATGACTAAAATTCCTGATTCATAGACTTATTGATATTATTAATCACTATAGTCTAACAACCAAATAAGTGGTACAAGTTCCTAGAAAAAGTACACATAATTTTACCAACAAAAAAAAGACAAAAAAAAAGAAAAAAAAAAAAGTAGTCCAATTCCACCGCCCAAGACTCCATTTTATCCGAATCTCACGCATTATTGGGGAAAAATTCTAAATACTTTTCGTTGTAAGCTTTTGGTTGATTTTGTCCCCAAAAAATAGTGCGATCCACATTCGACTTTTGTTTGGTCAAATCCACACAATGTTAGAATAAATTTAGATCACATGTTATTTCTTTTCTTGAAATAAAATTTTGAGTATTTTTTTGGGATACATGAACTTAGAGAATCTCCAACAAGCACTCTAAATGCGCTAAAAAAAAACAAAAGATTGAAAATAATATCCACAATTTAGCACACTTGGTTGTTTGATTTTCCTCCAAATTTGATTACTTTAATAATGGGGTTGTTAGATTGATAATAATTAATTATTATCTAAATCTGCGAAATTCTTCTAATACAGGCTTTTGAGATGGATCTCTGGGCCGTACTTTAATTGGGCCCCAAAAAATATAATATAATTATGGGGAGCTGAGCCAAAGGTTTAAGCCCAACATATTACACCCCATTTAGACCAAAAACAAATTCAATACTCCATTAAGTTCTCAAATTATCAATAAGACGAAAATACCCTCACAGATCATCCAATTTACACGCTCGCAACCTTCACCTACGATCATCTCGCAACAGTCTGATCAGTATATTGTCACATCTCCGCTGCTCACCTCCTCATTCTTAGTCCTCCATCTCTTCACCGTTCGACTCTACTACCTCTGAAACCTTACTGTCACGACCCAAACCCGCCTCTAAGGGTTTAGCATCATAACCGGCCAGCAATCCGTGATCACCGAAGGCCTGCTTAACTGTAATGACAATCATACAGTATAAAGGGGCTGGCGGAAGCCAATCAGTAATAAAAAGATATCCAATGAGCTATGAAAACCGGATTGAAAAAAGACTTTCATGGACAAAACCACATTCACAATCATATACCAAAAATACATGTACAAAGTAGCATACAGGTTAGGGACCTAATCCCCTCATCATAACTGTACAATCGAAGTCTTAAACATTCTTTACATTAATAGAGACAAAAAGGGTAAATCTGAAACACCCCAAAACAGCCTTAACTCGTGCAGGCTCGGAACCTCGATATGAGGCGCGATGGTTGGCTTGACAAAACATGAGTCTAAGTCGGCACCTCTAGCTCGGGTTCGGTGCTTGGCCACCTACATATATATAAATTGTGAGCTAAAGTCCAGTGAATAACAAATGTGTAAAGAGGTTAAGAATGAATGTCCTTTCGGTAATTGAAACAGTCATTTGCATCAGTAAATCAGTTATCCAATTAGTGACTCATATTTCAAGTCATGACATTTGGTTGGAAACCATAGCAGTCATACGTGGTACATCCAATAGCAGAACAGTACAGTAGGTCTAAATAGACCGAACAGTCAGTTGATGGACATTAAAACAGTAAACAGTAGTAGTTCCAAACATTGGAACTGACAGAGATTTCTGTAACAGTAGCAGTAGTAATAACAGTAACAGTAGCAGCAACAGTAACAGTAACAATCAGTTGCTATAGATGCCACGAGTACAGTTCATAAAATAGGACAAATATTTTTTCAGTAAACAATATCATTTCAGAAAGCAGTACAGATAATCATTCAGAAAATAATTATAATTTAACATAGCTTTACAATATTGTTACTCACAGATTACTGGGCTATAGACAGGCTAATCAGCGTCCTTAGGTGCCAACCTACACAGTTACAGAATGAATGCACACTAAATTACACACCTAGGATTAATAACTTAGCCCCTCGCTTGTTTTGGTGTGGTTCTAAATTATTATTCTCATTATGATGCCTTAAAAATGGCCTAGGAATGCCTAGGATGGAACGAGGATGCAAAAATGTACATAAAAATATCTTTCAAAACTTGCTGAAAACAGGGGTTTCACTCGAGCGTGACTTCCTTCGCTCGAACGGACATGCAGAATGTGCTTGGTCGCTCGAGCGTAGACTCCTTCGTTCGAGTGATCTGCAAAAATGTGAAAAGTATTGGTTGCTGAAAATCTCCGCTCGATGCTCGCTCGAGCGTGAGACATAGTTCTTCGCTCGAGCGCAAGTCTTGTCACTCGAGCGTGCTTCTACACACGCAAAAATCCTGAGAGCTTGCAATTTATGCTCGAGCCAGCATTCCATCGCTCGAGCGAAAGTCTGAAAACAAAAGTGGTCGCTCGAGCGTGGAATCCCTCGCTCGAGCGAGGAAGCCAAATTCTGGATTTTCCAGATTTGCTCCCAAGGCTCAAACCATGGATTTAATATGCTAAAACTCATCATTTTGGGCCAATTCTCTGGAAAATACATAGAAACTCATAACACAACATGTTTTGAAGATCATTTCATAAGATTAAAGCCCAAAAGTGTGTCAATTGTACCAAATTTCAATGTAAACTTTATGAACAATGCAAGAACATAACATGCATGAAGTTTCTTGACCTTGAGCTTCTCAAAATATGATCAAGTGCAATATTCAACTCAAAAACATGGTGAATTCTTGGATCACAACTAAAATATGAACATGCATATGTGAATTTCATGAAAACAACTCCAAAACTCCATGATATGGACATGGATGCATGAATTGATTCTCAATTCCACTCTTTAGGCTATTTCTCGACTTTAGTCACCAATTTTTCCATGAACCATGCATGAACAACTTAAATTCACAATTAAGAGGGTGAATTCTTACCTTAAGTCTTGAATTTTCAAGTGTGGAAGCCTAATCTTCCAAATCCTCTTCAATTATTTCTAAATTCAAGCAATTCTCTTGTTGAATTCACTTTTCTTCCAACTCTCTCTCTCTCTCTCTCACGTTTTGTGCAAGAAGATGGAGGCTAATGGTGTCAAACATATATGAAATAAGAACAAAACAATGGCCTTGACAAAACATGAGTCCACCCAATGGCAAACATGTAAATAACTTAAGCTAAATTAATTAGCATTATTTATTCTAATTTAATCATTCCCAATCGAATTTCCATTAAACATACCATAAAATTTCATAAATCCTAATTAGCATATAAATCAGGTCAATTTCTGAATCGGTCGCCGATAAGGCTTCCAATTCACAAATCGAAATCAAAACATGAACAGATCGTTCTATATCAAACAGATAGAAATGCAATTAAAACAACACACCCACATAATCAATTTGGGATTTCATCTTAATCATTTACTTGACATGCTTAATCATGAATTAATGCTAAACATAGGTCAAGGTTGTCACAGTCTTCCCCCCTTAAAAAGAGTTTGGTCCTCCAAACTCGAATTACCTTCATTTTGGAAGAATACCGGATTGAGGGGAAACAATTCAGGATATCGCTTCATCATATTGTCTTCCTTTTCCCAAGTCGCGTAAACGCCACCATGGTTTTGCCAATCCATTTTCACTAACAGAATTTCCTTGTTCCTCAACCTCTTGATCCGTTGGTTTACAATCTGAATATGCCGTTCTTCATAAGTGTAATCATCACTCAACACTACACAGGTAGGCTCAATAACATGGAAAGGATCCCGAAGATAAACCCGCAACATCGAAATATGAAAGACATTATGCATATGTTCCATTTCCGGAGAGAGTGCTACTTGATATGCCACATGATTAATCTTTTCAATGATTTCATACGGCCCAACATACCTCGGTGCTAGCTTACCCTTAGCTCCAAAGCGAGTCTGTCCCTTCATTGGTGTTACTTTAACAAAAACATGATCACCCATTTCATATTCCCTGTCTCGTCTGCGTACACCCGCGTAGCTTTTCTGTCGACTTTGCGCAGTTTTCAATCTTTGTTGAATTAATTTCACTTTTTCTATTGTTTCATGTACAATCTCGGGTCCAAGTAAAGGCCCATCTCCAACTTCTGCCCAACAAATAGGAGACCAACATTTTCTTCCATATAAAGCCTCAAAAGGCGCCATACTTATACTCGAATGAAAACTATTGTTGTAGGCAAATTCGGTTAAAGGCAAATGACTTTCCCAATTCCCTTGGAAATCAAGCACACGCATACGCAGTAAGTCTTCTAGAGTTTGGATTGTTCTTTCTGATTGGCCATCTGTCTGAGGATGGTATGCACTACTCAGTCTTAATTCAGTACCTAATGCCACTTGCAGGCTTTGCCAAAATCTTGATGTAAACTTCGAGTCCCTATCAAAAACAATGGACACAGGCACTCCATACAGTCTAACAATCTCATTAATATAAATTGTAGCCAATTTATCCGCATTATAAATTGTTTTGACAGGTAAGAAATGAGCAAATTTAGTCAACCGATCAACAATAACCCAAATTGAATCCATACCTTTACTGGAGTGAGGCAATCCGACAATGAAATCTATAGTAATATGTTCTCATTTCCACTCCAGTATTGACAAGGGTTGAAGTAAACCTGCGGGTCGTTGATGTTCGGCTTTGACTTGTTGGCAATGTAGACTTTT